TGGTGGAGGTGCGGCTGAGAAATTCAAATGTGAAACTGATGTTGACATATGCGTAGGTACGCTAAGTAAGGCTGCAGGTTGCCATGGTGGATTCATAGCATGCAGGTAATTCTGTGAATGTGCCTATCCAGATTTTTGTTTAGGGAAAATATAATCGATGTGAGGGCCCTTCTGATTCTCTTTTCGTTTCACATTGAACTTGAAGTATTATATTTATGCAAAATGTGTGTGCTTGAATTTTTCCCTTTTGAAATTTTTATTTCATTTGCTTCAGAAGAATTGAGAACTTTCTATTGAGCTTAAAATTATTTGAACTGAAATCCATTGGAAATCTGAATTAAATTATTATCTGCCATGCAATGTTTAAAAAGGCGAAACTAGTACTGAGGCGGTTTCTCTTTATGAAGCGAGGCGTAAGCCTCACAAAAAACAAAAAATTTAATTAAAAGAATTATAAAATAATACAAAAATACAAAAAAACCAAAGTTGGAGTATATATTAAATAGGATATACATATTCAGATATAATCCACCTAAAAAAAGAAATGTTTAGCAAAAAGCATTACAGAAGTTAGAAATTACTTCATTTGCAATGGGAAAAAAGAAGCAGTTTAAACTAAAAAAAAAAAAGCCTAACAGTCTGCACTATCAATATTACTAGCATCGTTAATGAAATCATCATCATATCTAATTTCCCCATCATCTTCCTTTTTGCTACTCTCAATTTCTACAAAAGACAGTAATGAGGCGCTCCTTGAGGCGTGAGCCTCAGATTTAGAGGAGTGAACCTCATATTTTTAGCCTTAAAAATAGCGCATCGAGGCATACTACATGCGCCTCACAATGAGGCGCGCCTCACTAACGCCTTTTTAAACCATGCTGCCACGTCAGGTCTTTTCTTCCTAAACTTATTCCTTGTGCATTCAGTTTTCACACAACTACATCTAGATTTAATTCTTCATTAGTCGAATGATTTTTGAAAAAGGATGGCATCGGACAGCTTTACATGGTACCTACCCGCCTCGGCTCCTAATTGGACCTGATTTGAATACCCAAATAGAAAAAATGACAGGTCTCAATATTGTTTAGAGACACCTGTTAGGGTTTGGGATGGGACGAGGTTGAGATTTTTTTATCAAAAGTCGATTTGCGTACCCAATACCCATTTATTTGTTTTATATATCTATAAGGTGGATATACATTTATTTGGGAAAGTTACAGATGGGATCTAAAGTGGTTGGGCAAATTTGTAGGTGAGTTCCATGATTCAAATCTTTAACTTATGACTTAAACCACCAAGTAGCAAGTAATAACCACTGATCTACAATCCTTTTTCGTGTTTTAAGAGAAGATTTTGATAAAAGTTGATAAAATGTGTGGTTGAAAAGTTGTGGGTCCCATGTGGTTAAAATTAATTTTATTTTGACTTGAGATTTTAATTGGATTTTAATCCAAACCAAACGGGGGCTAAATATTTAGATCAGTGAGAAGACTTGAAACTTACAAGCCATTCTGACATCTGTTTCTCACCTCCCTCTCAATCTATCTCACTCTTAGCCATGACCCCACCTCTCTCCCATCCTCATCTCCCTCAGTTACTATCTGCTTCCTCCGCCATTTGCTTCCCCATGGAAGAAGACTCAATAAGTGGGCTCATTAGGTTTTTCGTTGTTTATTTGAAACTTGGTAATATCGAAATATAAAATTTACTATATTTTCATATCATTTTGGATTGTGTATCCGTAGTCCTCTTTCCCCCCTAAATAGTGATACTTTTCTTCGGGTTCCCATATTTGAAATTGTTATCACCATCATAATCTTTATGTTATTTATTTTTGGGTTGTCTGAGTTGTTTCTGCTTGAATCGTTGAGCATCAGAATCATCATTTTACTCTTGAAAACTAGGAATTCTGTAAATTTAGATACCCTTTGATGTAATTCAGTAACAAAAATTGATTTTTGTTTTTCACTGTACTTTGACCAATAGTGAACATGTAATGCTCTTCGTTGATAAATTGGAAATAACCAGATACCAACTGGTGGCGTGTATTTAACTGGGACGAGAATGGGATGTATTCTTCCATACCCATTATGTGTTTAGGACAAGGTATTTGGATGTATTCAGGAATGGGTAGGGCCCACTGCCATCCCTAGTTTTGAACGACAACTTGTGTATGCAAAAATTTGTGCATTGTTACATTTTGCTTTACTTTTCAAAGTGGATTATATCAGATGAATCTTACCCTTCAATAGAAATGACGACTGAAAGTTGTGCAATTAGCTATGGGAAATATCAAATGCTTACAAGACATTGCTCTGTCATGGAATTCTAGCATTAATTATTCATGTGATATTCCCATTTCTAGCAAAAGAAAAATGCAAATCAATCAATGCAGCTCTTGAAACAAGTATAATTACAGTTTTCTTGAATATCTGAATATCAAATATATTTATGCCTTTTCATTTACATGTCAAATGGACAGCAAGAAGTGGAAGCTGCTTATACAATCACGGGGTCGTTCTTTCATATTTTCAACATCAACACCGGTGCCTGTTGTTGCCGCTGCTCATGGTTAGATTTTGTACAAGTATATGAGAATGTTCCTTTGCATGGTTTATCACTCTACCATAGTATCTCACATTTAATCACTACTAATTTTTAACCTTTGAAAAAACATTTGTTCATACCGTCATCCAGGTTTACAGTATAGCAGTTCGTGGTTATGGTTAAAATAAGTAAAATTGAGAACTTAATAGGATGTTAAATGGGGCCTTCTGCTATTGATTAAGCTGCATTTTCTTGTTTTAATATAACTTTTGTAGCGGCTGTAAGTGTGGCAAAGGAGGAGAGATGGCGTAGAAGAGCTATCTGGAACCGAGTGAGAGACTTCCAAGCTTTGACGGGAATCCCTGTCACAAGTCCTATAATTTCACTTGTTGTGGGCAGTGAAGAGAAGGCCATACAAGCTAGCCGGTCTCTCTCTCTCACCCCCCCACTCTCTCTCATTTTATGGTTCCCCATGTAAGTTTGGTGATGTTCCTAACTGTCGTAATCACTGTGAATCAGGCATCTTTTGAAATTAGGTTTTCACATAACTGCAATCAGGCCCCCAACAGTGCCACCAAACTCCTGCAGGTTTGTTGCATTTGTATGTCTTTGAATTTTAGTGGCGACTCACTCATTCTTTGGTGGTCCTATTTGCGATACCTGTAATTTAGGGTTCTTGTAGAGGGGGAATATGTTTATTTGGGCCAGTTCTTCACTTATGTTGTTCGATAACGAGGTAGATGCAATTCTTTTGTAGGTTCAGTTCTTTAATATTATTGTGTAGGGTCATCTTATTTACACCAAAACATAATATGAATGTTGGTTAGTCCTTCCAAACAGGAGATAATGAAATAAAAAATTTAAGATCTTGTTGTCTGGTGCCGATCTGCAATTCTCGCCACTTTTGCCATATCCTGCACCTGTTTCCTGGTTAAGAAAACGTCTCCTCATTTTGATTAGTTAGAAACCGTTGGATAAGATCCTTGCCTGAAACTAGAAGAGATAGTTCACTAACCTATTGAAGTAAGAAGTTTTGTCCAGAAGCCTTGGGCTAAAAGACAGATTTAGGGAACAAGGTTCCAAAAGAGAGAAGAGCCTTAATGCAACTAAAGCTGGGAAAGTTTCAGTTTGGTGTGCGATTGGAAATCAACTTGGAAATTTTGTTGTGTCTTCTAGTTGAGGACACTAGTACAAACTTGGAGTTTTGGTTTCGTTTCTATCCACTATTGATGAATATTGGTTTTGCTCCTTACAGGTTAAGGATAACTCTGAGCGCAGTACACACATTGGATGATTTGAGAAAGCTCACAAATGCATTGTCTCATTGCGTCAATTTTCAGGAGATCGAATTCTTGTGCACAAACCTTAACTCCAAACTTTAGTGTTCTATCCTATTCGTCTATCGATCTGGGAGTCTCTTTTCAGTTGTCGTTAGGCATTTGATATGTACTATTTATCATTTTGTTGTAGATATCAACGAAGTCCTTTATAAGGACTGAGGCAACTTCGGATGAATCACATTTATGTTCGTTGAATTTAAAGACAAAAGTAGAAGGCAATTTGAGCTCATTTTGGTGCTAGTTAATTTTTGTTTAGAATTTTGTTTGCATGCAACCCAACCCCACTACTGCCCTTCCCCGCCATTTTCCCCACTGTTCCTCCATTTCCCTACCCAGTTTCTCCGTCCTCCCTTACGCAGCCACTACACTCTTTCACCTATTGACAAGCAGCAAAATTGGCAAGAAAAGAGAAAGGGAAGAAGGGGGTGATAGGGGAGGAGGCAGAAGTGGGAAGCTGTAGCAGGGAAGAAGTTACATATTTATGTTTCAGATCCACTATTGACTCTGGTGAGCAGAAGTGAAGATTTGACTATGTCCAATCAACTTTACTTCATTTCGCACCTATTTTAGCACTTTTATCACTTGTTAAAGTTCAAAAGCACTATCGTGGATTCTTTTTAGGATGAAGAAGTCGTCAAATTGCTCAACAATTGGTTTGTTAGTATCATGGTAAGATTCTACAGTTCTAAGAAACGAAATATTTTCATTAACATTACGAGTGCTTTAACAAGTTTCTGTGATCTGCATTTCCATTCGCCATGTTCCTCATTTTTCTTCCACTTGCAGGATTGTCCTTGCTTTTGATATAAGCCACCATGACTACTTAAACTTGATTTTGGTACAGACTTGGACCGAAAGGCCCGTTCAGAAACTTGATTTGTTGAATGATTTATTCTTTGCTCACGTGTAGAATAGACCCAGTCAATTCGTACACCATCATTCTGGACAAAGTCTTTGGATTCTTCAATTGCTGAAGCTGCATGATCAAATTTTAGAGGAAGACTTCTATGCACTTTTTCGACGACCCTTTTGTCTTAGATTGTATCTCCGCAACTTTTGATTTGGTTTACTATCTCCTAGACTCGTGAAGAGAACTCATGAATCGACTTTCATTCTTCCATTTTTAGATTTTCAAGATCTTTCCACAAAGATTGAAGCTTCAAGGCTATTGTTTTCTCCGAACTTTGAAATTCTTGCTTTAAAATTTGCCGTGAATCTTTGGTCTTTTTAACACCAATGATACGAGGAAAAAATCGATTTACCTACTCCTTGTTGAACATATTGCAACGCCATTAGGTCTCTCTTTTTATATTCTTTATGCAATTTTTGACCCTCTTCATCATCTTCATTTGGAACTTCAAACTCCTCATCTTCAATGATATACCGAAGATCCAAAGAAATGTAGAAAGTTCGAATTTAGTTGCTTCAATACTCAAAGTGCTTGCATGTAAATATTGGAGCTTGACTCGGAGACTGAGTGAATATAGAGGCTGGTTCCATTGAGTCTGAATTCTGATATTAGTTCTCGAAATTGTTGGTACTGGTGTTGAACTTTGCTTCAGCCAATCACTAGTTGGCTCTTAGGAAACCAGCAGAAATGATTGTTGTTGCTACGTGCTGTTGTTTCAAGTGAACATATTTGAAACTGTTCCTCACGAGCAGAGGAATATCCGAAGTTAATGACGTCACTTGCTGAATTTAGTTTAGCAATGCATTTCAGTAGAGTTTGAACACCGAGAGGGCCAAGCACACTGGTCAGTGAAGATGATGCTGAAATTTTCTATTGAATTGCCTACTGCTGGTCACTGCTGGTCTTTAATGTGGTGATCTCCAATGTCTTTGATGCTTTTGAAGACTGCAAATTACTTTGAATTTTAACCACCTTTCTCTTGGCAATTGGCGAATCGATATACAAAATTCTGTGCACTTTCCAAACCATTTAGCCAATTACCATTGGAAGATTTCTTTATCAAAAAGCACTGGCCAGTGATAAAGTCTGTACTATGATCAAAAGTCATCTAGTTGGTGAATTTCTAACCAATATTTGCCAACAGTATTAAATACAAATATTGGTTCTTCTTTGCTGCTGAGCCCCTGTTTGACAGTTTTTTTTTTTGCCATCCCTAAAAAAATATTTTGTTGTACAAATATGTGGTTGATAATGAGTGTGAAAAAAGAATGAGAGAGAATGATTGTCGAACAAGGGCTTAAGTTTTCACCGTAAAATTGCCATTACTAGAACCTAGAAGCCTACCTGCTCTTGCTATAAACTCTACACAATTGTAAGAATTTTAAGGCACGGGTAAAACATGTCGAGCTACTAATGCATGAATGAAGCTCTAGTTTATCTCTGTACCTTCGACATGAATCAAGAAATATTTATCGTTAGACTACGGCGTGTTTTTGAACTATTTTCTGACAAAGAAATCTTCCTTGGCTAAATGATTTGTATATGGATTTCACTGAAAAGATCTCTAGAAATTTACGTTCAAATACTACATTTCAACAATTTGACCTCTGAATTCTTATTTATTTTATTTTTACTTTCTAGGAATGGAAAAACAAATCTTTCTAAAAAAATATATTTTATTTTAAAATTCTTGATATACAAATCTTACGTGTGGTCACTAATACTGCTAAAAGTTAAATTGCAAAAATATCAATTATACAACCATATGCTCAAAGAAAAAGTATACGTGTATGCACGAACACATAGACAGTGGAGGAATTAATGCATCTGACAAACATATTTAGTAACATTGCTACTTGTCAAATTAAATTGCATAATTGATCCTTGCCATTATAGGATTAGTTATCCTTATGTTCTTATAAATCAGACTATCCATTGGTTTCCAGTTTAATCCATTGATCTCTATTTAAACTTCATTCAGAAAACAAGATAAGATTTAATGAGGCTGAGAATAAGTAGTTAAAAGGAACGTACGTAAAAATTAGAAGTCACAATACATAACGCACAAAAATAAATACTGAGAACTAAACCTAATCAAAGAAAACTAGGTTCTAACATGCAGCAAATTTTGTTGCACCATCTCCACATGAACGAAGGGTACTCGAAAAGGAATGGAAAAACACATCTTTCCCGCATGCATGCCCACAAATTTTCTCGACTTTTCCACTGTTCTCACTTGACAAATTGTACTGATAAACCATTGAATCTGTTGCAATGAGCAGAACTTTTCCGTCCAGAACCGTAAAACCGGCCACCGTTAGATCAGATCCCTCTAATCCCATGTCTTGTACGTGCATCTCAAAAACCTGATGCCACGAACTTTTTTCTTTATCATTTCGCACCCAGATGCTAAACACATTATTGTACAATTTGACTAAACATATAGACCGCATAGAATTGCCTGAATTTCCCCACTTAAAAATATTTAGTCTGCAATCTAGATCGTGAATACCTCTCCTTGAATTTTCAGGCAATTTCAAGAACTTTGTAATGCTGTTCTCGACATCATAAGCCACAATGTATGGCCAAAAGAATGGATTGTCTTCTCCAAAATATGGACCGTTGTCGGAAAGTAGATAGACCACTCCATTTTGACAAAACGCTGTTTCGTAGCAAATAGTTCGGCCTGCACCAACCTTTATTCTCCCTCCATCTTTCCAAATTTTTTCTCTGGGTGAGTAAATTTTGCAGAGGGGGTCAGAACCCCAATCAGATGGCCACATTATTGACATTAACATGAAATCATCAGTAATCTTTTCGACATTATTGCATTCAAAAACGATTCTTAAGTTTCTTTCAGAATTGAAACCACATGGGTGGGATATTTCCAACCAATACTGGGTTGCTGGATTGCATATAAATAATGGTTTTATGTCGTTTGTGAAGTTTCTACAGCAAACCAGCCCATTACTCGAAGCAAGAACCCTACCAATTCTTGCAATAAATTCAAGAGAACTGTAAGGCACTTGTAAGCCATCTATGGAGCTTCTAATGCATGAATGAAGCTCTAGAACATCTGAGCACTGCGGTTGAATAAAGAAATCTTTATCACCAACCAACTGCGTCTTTTCGCATTGACTTTTAACAAAGAAATTATCGAATGGTATTTGGCTAAAAGGTTTGGAAAGTGAAGGGAAGAATTTGTATATGGGTTTCACAGGTAGCCATGAGAAGATCTCCATAAATTCTTGCTCGTGTTCCATGGTTTTTTATTTTTTGACGTAAGAAAAGAGAAGATATAATCTGATTAATTTTAACAGTGAAGAGAATTACTACTCCAATGCTATATGCATTGGCTTCTTATATATACAATTCCTATTTCCTAATCCTTGATGAATTAGGGTTTTCTAGCCTTATTAGGATACAGAATCTGATCGAATATGAGTAACGTTTTTGGAAAATAAATTAGTTTCCATAAAGGAACCATACAAAATTGGCAACCGTTTGAACTTTCTTGAAATTTAATTAATTATTGGTTACCATATAATTTCTGATTTTTGAAATAAATCAATAATATTAATTAAAAAAATAAACACTCCAATTTAAGAACTGATTATATATTTGTGTTAATGAGACGGGGTGTTTTCGAAATAATCATTATTAAATTAAATATTAAGCGTGTGAATGATTTTGAAATTATGATTAAAAAAAAACTAATTAATAATTTAATGACAAATATATAGGTATATATTCCAAATACATTACAGACGTATATTATTTTGTTTTTAGTTGTTTACAATTGACTAGAATTTTTTCCTGTATTGTAAAGTCACAGTTGTAACTTCGATTTGGTGAATGAAAGCCCATTTCCCAAAAAAAAAAAAAAAGCACTATGGATATCTAATCTACCCAAAGAATTCCCACCTCAAAATTAAGGTGGACAATGTATGATCAAATTAAGTTGTCGTGAAATGAAGGAGGATTCTTTTTAGGATGAAGAGGTCGTCAAATTGCTCAACAATTGGTTTGTTAGTATCATGGTAAGATTCTACAGTTCTAAGAAACGAAATATTTTCATTAACATTACGAGTGCTTTAACAAGTTTCATTGACAAGTGGGTTGATTGATTTAT